CAGGTTGAGGAAAAAGATAAGTATGTTGTTTAAACACTTGTTGAAATTCGTAGCAATTTACAAATAGATTATTGTTTAACACTTGTTATGTTAATCCTTGTCGATCCCTGTTACAGTATATGTTAATTCTTGTTGAAATTCGTAGCAATTTACAAATAGATTATTGTTTAACACTTGTTATGTTAATCCTTGTTGATCCTTGTTACAGTATATGTTAATCCTTGTTGAAACTTGTAGCAATTTACAAGTAGGCTAGACCGAGATCACCGTTTAGACACTTGTTAAAACTTGAGAAAAAGTTTGCAAAGTTAACATTGAGTAGTATATGTTTCACACTTGTTAGAATTTATGAAAAGTTTGCAGGTCAGTATCTTGCCGAAGTAAAAGTTTTGTAGCTATTATACCCGAGGTATGTAACCCCGAGAAGATTGCACAAAGGAGGCAAAGTATGAAAGGCATACAAAAAATTCTAAGTATAGAATCAAACAGAGGCAGTCAAAGAAAAGGCAAAAAAGAATGCAGTCATTCAAAAAAAGATAGTTATGTTAAAATATCTAACACAAACAGAAGGCACATCGGCCGTACAGAGAAGCTTCTACTGTCCATGAAACAAAAAAGTACAAAAGACAAAAAAAAAGAGGGACATCAAAGTTATGATTCTTCTACATCAGGCGCAATTCGAGACTGGACCTCGGCCGATTCTTGGAGAACTACCTTGGCTGATTCCTGGAGAGCTACTTCGGTAGTCTTTTCCGCTTCGATTTCGGCATCAATCTGCGCAAGGGTTTCATCAAGACTTTTTTCGGCTGGAGGAACGTCGGATGAGGCCTGTTCAGGAGTAATTTCCTTGGCAACTGCATCACCATCAACATCTTGAGTCAGGTCCAATACCTGCTCATTCAGAGAAGGAGACTTAGGCCCAGCAGCCTCCTTGGATTTCCTTACTAAAGCCTCATCCTCACCTTCCTCCTCATCTTCAGACTCAGATTCAGATTCTTCTTCAACTTGACACTAAAGCCTCATCCTCACCTTCCTCCTCATCTTCAGACTCAGATTCAGATTCTTCTTCAGCTTGACTTTGAGGTGGAGGAGGAGGAGGGAATGGGAGAGGAATAGCTTCGGCCTTGCGCAGAGGTGAATCTTTAGGAATATTGAGCTTTTTGGCCAGGGACATCCAACCAAGGGAAAAGCCCCTGTTGCATGCCTGCCTAACTTGTAATTTGTATTCCTCTGTAACATCGGCCATTCCTTGGGCATAGGCTTTTTCGTCAGCCGCTTTGATTTCAGCGTCTTTAGTGGCCAAGGCCTCCAGAAGTTCCTTTTCGGTTTTTGTCCTCGGCTTCTCTATTCTCGGCCTCGGCAACCTTCTTGATGGCCTCAACAGATTTGGCCTTTTCTTCGGCTAGGGTTTGGGCTTTGGTGGCAGCCTCAGCCTGGTCTTCCAGTTTTTTCATTTTTGATTGAAGAGTTTTGTTCTCCTTTTTAAGGGCAGAAACCTCCCTCTTCATGTCGGCCAACTTTGCCCTATTTTCAAAAGCTTGCATAGAGAGAGAGTGGGCATGTTGAATGGCCTGAAAGAGCATAGGGAAAAAATTATTACAAAATTTCACAAAGTAAAAGAGAAGGCAAGTTTCCATGTAAAGACACTTACTTAGACAGAACGTTGGAGCATAAAGGCATAGTTCTTGTACTCACTCATCTTGGCATTCCGCTCAAGATCACCTGGGAGAAGTAGGGCGGTACTGAGTGCTACGCCGACATTAATGTCGTCGGCACTATCGCTGGCAAGAACAGGCTTATCTTCTAGAGTAATTTCAGGCGTCCAGGGGACTTTTGGTATTTTGGACCCCGAGGTCGTCGCAGACGATGATCTCGGCTTCTTTGATTGTGTGGACTCTGATGGCTGTGTCTCAGCAGACCTTTTTTTGGGAACGGAAGCCGTCTTCTCACTCCCTGCCAATTGTGAAATTGTCAGGGTATCCTCAGCCTCAACTTCAATGGCTTTAGCCTTTGGCTGGGCTTTCTTGGTTCATTTCAGCTTTGGTGGGGGCATGGTTTACGTCGGCTGAGCATCGACGTCAACAGGGAGATCGGCAAGGAGGTCTTGAGCAACGGGCTTTGGGCGACCCATCTCAGCAGTTTTAACAAGTCTTCGCCGACCTTTTCGTTCTTGTATTGGGACCAAGTATGGGGCCGAAGTAGATGGTTGATTAGTTGGGTCAGATGTTGACTCTTGATCTGTTCGTGATGTAGAGGTGGTTTGAGTTGTGGCAGTAGGAGGAGAAAGACTTTTCTTCTTTCTTTTGGGGACGTCGGGCAAAGTCGATTTGTATGTAGGAATAAAGTTGAGAAGAAGAGGTGTTTTTCTTTTATGAACTGGCAAGTCCAGGAGTTTTTTCAGGCCCTTACTGGGAACGTAAGATTGGCGGAAGTTTTTCGCTGGCTTACGAACGTCTGCAAGAAGAAATAGACATTAGAAACAGATAAAATATTGAAGACTTGAACAGAAACAACTAAGTATTGACACTGAGCTCTTACCTTTACCCTCTTTAACTGATCGGGGAAGAGGGTAGAGATGGGCATCCTCGTCTGCGCCAAACTCCCAATTTCCCGAAGTAATAACATAATCATCTCCAGCCCCCTTGTTGGAGTCTGGGAGGTCGGCTACGATTTTGAATTCTGTAGACCTCGGCTTAAGATAATAGACGTAACCTTTTTCCTTCAGGTTAAGGGCGCACATGGTATAACAATATTGTATGTCGGTTAAGGTGATCCTAACGTTTTCCTGTTTAGCTAAGGCGATAATACCAAAAATCACTCGATAAGAGTTGATTGCCAGTTGCATGGGGTTCAACTTATAATAATGAAGAATCTCGCGAAAAAGGATATTGAGTGGGAGCCGGAGTCCGCACTCAGTAAAAGCTACAATGGGAAGGGGCATGGCATTTTCTGTAGGCATGATGGAGTCATCATCCCCAGCGAGTCTCAGGTGGACATCAACAGGGATGGAGAACTCCTGCCTAAAGTACTCAAGTTTGGTCGGGGTATCTACCCTGTGCCTTCACATACCCATAACGTCGGCCTAAAATCAGAGGGCTAGGTTTCAAAAAGAAGATGCTCTTAAGGGGTTATCGGGACCTCGGCGAAACCCTAGGTATATGCTGGTAAGGACTGTTTCAGTTTTTTCCCAAGAATTGATAGGTTCTATAGACAAATCCCAAACCTAAATCTATAAAGGCAAAGATTGAAAGCAAAAATTGAAGGCAGAGATCTGGAAAACAACACAGGAAACAAGAAACCAGAACGCAGTTTCAGAATGAAGAACAGAAGTGGGGTTCTCAAAAGCATAAAGACAACAAGAACTACAGGGCCAAGAACAGTGGCAAAAATGCAAGAAGTAGTGAACAATAAATATGATTCACGGAATTAATAGTTTAAACAGAATAGTAATGGCAGCAAGAAGATAGAAGAACATCAGTGAACTGAATACATAAAGAATAGTGGCTTACCAGAGAAATTGAAGCCGGAATAAAGTTCGCCGAAGACAGACGACGGTTACAGAAGTGACAGAGTAGCGAGAGCCTCACCAGAGAGACAAATGAAGTTGCAGAGCCTGGAGCTTGAACAATGGCGGATTCGAGAGACAAAGCTTAGAGAGAGAAAAAGCAAGTGAATCAAAGCGCAAAGTGAAGAGACGAAGGCAAAGGTAGTATTTTTGTTGAAAACGTGAAACGGCGGCAAAATAAGGCATTTACTGCGCCTGGAAAAACGCATGCGTCAGACGGCGCAGACAGATTAAGACGGCTTACAAGCGCGTCACCGGCACGGGCCAATAAAGATGAAACGCGTGTCTAAAACGGTTGAATTGAAGTGCATGACATCTCATGCGCGTAAAAAGTTCCTTAAAAATCTTTGATTTTTTAGGAAAAGCATGTCGGCCAGAAATGAATGATATCGGCTGTCAAATCTTAAGCCGATTTACTGGAAGAAAATACAGATATAGGTTCCATCACCTCAGAATGTCGAGGTAATAAAACCTATGGGGCAGTTGTGGGGATGTATTTTCTGAATACCAACACGTGGCAAGGTGACGCCGACGTGTCAGCCGAAGTGCCACGTGTCCTGGTTGTGACGCCGAGGTTATCTCGGCGAGGCCGAGGTTATCTCCGAAGATATCGGAATCCGAGATAATCGGATGGAGGACAAGAGTCCTAGGACAAAGAGGAAACTTGGCCAAGATAAGGATAACACTCTTAGGGAGTTTATCCTTATCTCTTGAGGAATCCAAAATAAGCACAGAATTGGAGTCCATAGAAGTCAAGCTTCTAGTGGGATTAGGATTGAGTAAACTATAAAAAAGAGGCACCCCGTGGGTCTAAGATACGCAGTTTTATGCTTTGAGTAGTGAGTTTAGCACTTGATTATCTTTGAGAGATATACTGACTTGATCGTCGGAGTGCCCCCGGGTGGAAGAGCCACTGCTGGAGCCTTTTCTTTCTGTTACAGATTTGCTGAAGCCATCTATTCTGCCGGTGCTCTCTAGCTGATTATTAGGCGGACAGTGTGGTCAGAAAATCACTCACACATTCAGTTTTTTTTTAAAAAAATAAAAACGAAACAAAAACTAATTTGGTAAAAAAAGTTTTTTAAAAAAAATACTCATAATTTTTATATAAATTTTCATTTTTAGGAAAAAAATTTCCTTTTTCTTTTAAATATCTATTTTTATTAAATTCAATTTTATTGTTCAAATATTTTAAAAAAAAGATTTTGAAGAACAAAACCAAACAAAATGCTTACCTATGTTGAAAGTGTAAAAGAGAAAATGACCGGGCAGTGATATTTTTACAAAATTATTACAAATTTATAAAAAAAAAACCTTATAATTATAATTATTAATATTTAGAAACTTTATCACTAATTTGTAATTGAATTTTAAAATACCACCGACCTGTTATTTCCCTAAATTTGAATGTAGCTTAGAATTTTACACTGCGTGAGCCTCACGAAAGAACCACGCACCCGTGGCTATGTGGTCATCGAACCCACCCCACCCAATATCATATTCTTCGAACCATCCACTGCCTCATGGGTCCGATCTCCCAACACTCGACTCGAACCCCTCTCGCTCTCTCTCTCTCTCTCTCTCTCTCTCTCTCTGTGTGTATTGCAGCAACCTAGGTCTTCAAAACTTGCTTGTCTGAGAGACCAAATCAATGACCTATTCATCTATATCTATCTACATATATATATAAAGACAGTGGTGGTTTGTGGTGGCGCAAGAGCTTGAGAGAGCGAGTCTTGTCTGATGAATCGTCGTTTCATACACCACGGAAAATGTTGGCAACAATCACAGTACATCGCCTGCGCACGTTAGTCCTCCTCACCAATTCCATTGAAAACCAATCGTCTCCATGTCTAGGTCCGTAGTTTTCATTTAACTCTTCAATTGTTTCTGGGTTTTCTTTCTTTTCTTGATTCTGTGGTGTATTTGACATTTTACAGTTTTTTGCTTTTGGGTTAGGGCTTGTTTCCTAAAGCTTTTGTGATTTATGAGATTTTCAAAAATTCATGATTTTGGGTTCATAGGTTTCCTTGTTCTGTTATTTGGTATTCCAATTCACGGGTTTAGTGTTTTTTATTTTTGTTTTTAATTATTATTATTTTTTTTAATTTTTAATCTTTAAAAATGAAATGGAAAGTATTGCATATAGGCCCTGTTTGGTGTAGAGCTGTGGAAAAGTGCTTATAACTTATGCCTAAACAGCTTATAGCTTATAATTATGAACATAAGCTGATTTCTGACTTATAAATTAAGCATGACTTCCAAAAAGCTATAAATTATAAGTTATAAGCTAAACTAAACACATCAAAATAGCTTAAATTAAGCTGAAAGCTGAAATAAGCAGCTTTTAAGCTGCACCAAACAGGCCTATAGATTTAATTTTTGGAACTGTAGACGGATATTTAGCTTAAGTTCAATATTTTAAATTTAATTAAGCGTAACCATACTTGGGTTTGCTGATTCCCATTATATTGGAGAACCCGAATTTTTCTTAGAAGCCCCTGTCAAATTTATGTTGCAGTGGTTATACACACTCGCATTGCCGTTAATGAGGTAGTTATTTTGATTTCAAATGAATGATACAAGTGTTTGTCTCATTGAACAGACTGGATTAGGTTGGATTAGTATTCCCATGACTACTAGTTGCAGGATTATGAATTCTTTTGGATTGTGTATTCTATCTTATATTTGGATTGAGTTAGGATTTAAGGAGGGATTAATAAAATATTATCTAATCCGATGTTTGTTTAAGGGGATTGGAAATGATAGGACATGACAGGACATGGGATATCCAATATATTGACCATAATATCCCTATTATAAGTAATGTAAAATTTTGCACTAGCATGTGTTATAATTTTTAAAAAGCAAATTTACATATTGTTGCTCCACATCCATTTTGATTCATTTGAACAAACTTTAATCCAGTTTTGTTTAATAGAAAAAAATCCAAAATCATTCAATTATAAAATTTATATATCCATAAGCAACCATTAAAAAAATACATATTGGTATTTTAATCATCCAACCATTCATTGTCCAAATTCAAAAAATTATTTATTTGAACAAAATTTAACCCCCACTTTTTTTAATATAAAAAATAAAAAATCATTCAACTATAAAATTTATATATATACGAGCAACCATTAAAAAATATGCATTGCTATTTTAGTCATCCAACCATTCATTGCCCAAACTCAAAAAAGTATTCATTTGAACAAAATTTAACCCCCTTTTTTCTTTAACAAAAAAAATAAAAAAATCATTCAACAATAAAATTTATATACACAAGCAATCATTAAAAAATATGCACTGCTATTTTAATTATCCAATCATTCATTGCCCAAATTCGAAAAGGCATTTATTTAAACAAAATTTAACTCTTTTTTTTTTTCCGAATAGAAAAACATCAAAAATCATTCAACTATAAAATTGTAGAAATATAAATCTACCATTCATCATTTCAAAATAAACATTCCAAGTAGCATATTGCAACATGAAGTAACAAAATATGAGCCGTTCAACAAAAAAAGTAACAGAAAGCCTGTCCTTATTACATGCATTAGAGTAATCAAAAAATTATGTAGAAGGACATAAAAGAGTCACAAGTCTGTCATGGAGCACTCCTAGGTAGCAACCTCATCGCCCACCTTAGTGTGTCATCACGTGCCAAGCTGAAGAACATGTTGAGCTTTTGAGCACTTTGTGCTATGATCTCACAAGCATTTAGCCTTTCATGAAGAGTAATTGGCAACTTAATAGGTTCATCATTCAAACTTGCCTGTTTAGATGCGAGATCATGTTCATAATCCATCCTTTGACCAAAGCAAAAAATACCTCACCCAACTTGTTAGCAATCATGGACAACCTTTCCACTACATCATCATTACCTCTAGACCTCTTCTTGTTGTCATTCTTTTTTTGTAGAACTTTCAGGTGATCGTTGACTTGATAAGCTGGAGCAATTTATTCCCTCGCCAATATGACTATTCATACCCATATGTTCAAGAAATGTGCCATCATGTGCAAGACTATTAACAGCAATTTTCCTCAGCATTTATAGCATGAACTGCATCAGCAGGCCCTTCAGCAAACTCCCCCGTAGCCCAATCCTTACCAAATATGTGGATCTATTAGTCGAAATAGGGAAAACTTTTGTTTCGTAGGTTTTCGCATCGCTCTCCCTCTACAATAACCAATTCAATTAATATCTCCAATTTAAGATTAAAGAAAAATGAATTAAAAAATTAACAACTTGTACAAAGTAACTTAAAGAAATTATTTTACCCGAATGTATGCTTCCCAGACACTATCACTCTCAACATCAATCCTTTTTTCGGTGTCATTCCATTCAAAACCACTGATACCCAGCATTTTTGCTACACAGTTGTAGTGCTTCTTCCATATCTTTATCTTTGATTCGATGTGGTAATTTCATAAGGTAGCCGGCCTATTGTATGAACCGTATGGCATAACATCATAAAACAACGCCTGTCTGTATGAAGTTGTTCAATGCATGTAATGTCGTTTTTTCTCACTAGCGGGTTAATGTGGTCCATCTGTTCTTGCAATCAATTGGGCCCTCTAATAATGGCACGACGATGCTTGTAAATGTACCTCTTCAATACAATTTCAATGGCAATATATGCTACAATGCATAAGGCGTACAATTCTTGCATTACAACTTGCAACACTATGTATAGCTCAAGCTCCTCATTACTCTCATCTCCAAAACCATTAAAATTGTAATCCATCTATGCAAACAGTGATGCACATCAATATATTAGAGTATAAGAAAACTTCATAATTCCAAAAAAATTAGCCAAAAAAAAAAAAAAAAAAAAAGAGATTGTCACCATTGGATTGGATGCATTTTAAACCCATGCATTTTTAAAAAATATGTGTTTATCAGGGCCATTGGGTTCATTGGATGGGTATCTTAGTCTCATTCATAAGTTTTATGTTTTTTTAATCAAATAAACCTTGTTGCTAACCAAAGGAAGCACAACAAATATATTATAAAAAAAAAAAACCCATTTATGAAGTCTAATTTGCCCACCAAATAGAGTGGACTACCAAACAGAGCAATCCAATTTTCCCAGCAATAGACACACAACAAAAGCAATAATTAAAGAGATTTCTTTCTTGAATTTTCCTAATTTCTCAACATATTTACATAGAAAGTGAAGTGTGTCTCTTCAAGAACTCACAAAATCACCATATAATTGCAAGAAAACTGAAGCTAATTGTTGAAGTAAAACAGGGCATAGAGAGTAGGACTTACCAGTGGAAAGGAGAGACAAAGAAACAATAATTAATTGATGAGTGGGCATATGATTGCCAAAACAGATTTAATAACTACTAAATAAATTTTTTGACAAGAAATGTTTAACTTTCTAAACTAATTTTCATTTTATTATATTTTACACGAATATATATATATATATATATATGTATGTATTTATATACACAGATTGTTGTTACACAAAAGAAATTGGTATTTTCATTTTATTTATTTTATTTTATTTTACACAAACTGGTATATATATATACATACACAATATATACACCATACACAGGTCTCTCTCTCAATCGATTATGTATGTATGTTCGTAAAATCGATTATATATGTGTTTGAATGTGATTTATGTGTTTTTCTTCATCATCTTCAATGCGATTTATGTGTTTTCACCTAAAATCGATTTATGTGTTTTTTTTCATCATCTTCAATGTGATATATGTGTTTGAATGTGATTTATGGTTATCATAGAAGATAAATGAGTACCACAATACATAGAACTCCTCAACCTCCCTAGTCCTTTCTCCATCAAAACAAAATTAAAAATCTAATTTAATCAATTAAAAATCAAGACAAAACTTTTGCTAAATATTGAACAATGCTTCAACACATACAAATCTAACAATATGACCCCACAATCAACAAATGTGAGAAGCATAACCCTGGATCTATGAAGATGAAGAGAGAGAAAAAGCAATAACTATAACAACACCAATGTAAAACAAAGATTCATACAAATCAAACCATGTAATAGCAACGTAATTCAAACCGAGCATCAATAGGGAGAAAAAAAAAAAAAAAAATTTTACTCACTAAAATTTGTTGAGATCAACAAATCGTGGTACAAAAACGATGAATGATTGCTTCAAATCAACAAATGGTGGATCCAAATTGATAAACAGTTGCTCCAGATCTGTGAATGGCGGCTCCAAATTGGTGATCAGTGGCTCAAGATTGGTGACAAACTTTGGAGACTCTCATCTTTTCACAACGATGTCAAAGAAGAGTGAGGGTTGTGGAATAAAATAATCAACAAATATAGATATATAGTTAGGGTTAATTTGGTCATTTGATGGGTTAGTCCAGACTTTGGCTTAGTCCCTCAATTTATATCCCACCCCCCTCTGTGGGATTGAATAGTCCATCATATGTGGGATACCTGGATGGATTGTTACTCCGTACTTCAATTTTTTAACCAAACATCGGATTAATAATTTTATTGGACTATTAGTCCAATCCCAAGCACATGTCTGCCCAAACACACATGGCCTAAGGGTATAAGGATCGAAATGTAGTATCCACTCTTTTCCAAAGTGTGTAATTGCATTATTGAAGCCTTGAAGGGTTTTTCTGTTAAATTTATCTTCACTGTAAATGAACAAGACTTAACTATCTGCTGAGGAACTAAGATGTTAGGGTGTGCCAATTATTTGAATAATTGCTGAATACACTTGTTATGTAGTTAATCTACAATATTTATGTCGCAAACAATCTGTGTTGGTGGTAATTGACACTATAGTTCGGAATGCAGGCTTTTGACAATTAGGAATATTAGGACAGTTGCACATTCTATTCGTGCAAACCAGAGGAACTTTTATTCAGAAGGAAGTAAATATGGGGCAGCTGTTACAGCCGGGTTACATTCCCCCCAATACAGATTATACTCGCAGTATATTTTTCCTATTCGGGAACATGCTTCATTCGCGGGGTACAAAATCAAGGGCAGTTTTGGCAAGATTAGTTTCTCGAGTAAATTTTCTACCATCCCTGCAAGTAACACAGTAGCACATCATGCCCAAGTTGCTTGGAAGAGACTCTCACAGATGTCTTCTCAGAATTGCCAGACTTCCCTTCTCATAAGTAGGACTGCTCAAGCAGTTAGTTTGGCCTTGAGCCGATCTTACATGGTTGTTCCTGGTATATTTGCCTTGACATGTGGCAATCTAGCATTGGCACAAACATCAGCAGACATGGACCCTTTCTACTCAAGAAAAGCTTTGTACATGCGTGCTGAAGATGGGCATGCTTTTGTGACCTCATTATTATTTGCAGTGTTTGAAGGAGTGGTCTTGTTGCTAAGAGCTATTTATTTGGCAATTTTGTTCTCACCCAGCATAGTCATGGGCCCATTTGCTGATTGTTTTGGACCTCAATTTAGAAAAACATGGCTTCAGGTTGTACATCATACACTTGAAAGAGCGGGCCCAGCATTCATAAAATGGGGCCAGTGGGCAGCTACACGGCCAGATCTCTTCCCTAGAGATTTATGCTCTGAACTTTCAAAGCTTCACACCAAAGCTCCTGAACACAGTTTTGCATATACAAAAAAGACTATCGAAAAAGCTTTTGGTCGTAAGCTTTCTGAAATTTTTGATAATTTTGAGGAGGCACCTGTAGCATCTGGAAGTATTGCTCAAGTCCATCGAGCTTCATTGAATTATCGATACCATGGTCGACAAATCAAGCCTATTGTAGTTGCAGTGAAAGTTAGACATCCTGGTGTTGGTGAATCGATTAGAAGAGATTTTGAGATAATTAATATTGTAGCAAAGTGTTCAAAGTTCATTCCTACTCTGAAGTGGTTAAGATTGGATGAGAGTGTCCAGCAATTTGCAGTTTTTATGTTGTCTCAGGTTGACCTTGCAAGGGAAGCTGCCCATCTAAGCCGCTTTATTTACAATTTTCGTCGATGGAAGGATGTTTCTTTTCCAAAGCCCGTTTATCCCCTTGTGCATCCTGCAGTTTTGGTGGAAACTTTTGAGCAAGGGGAAAGTGTGGCGTACTATGTTGATGAGCTTGAAGGGCATTGTCGCCTTAAAAGTGCACTTGCGCACATTGGGACTCATGCACTTTTGAAGATGCTTCTAGTAAGATATTTAATATTTTTCTTTGCATGATTAGTAATTTTTTTGCCTTAAAGTTTTGTTTTGTGGTGCATTGTTCGTTTGCTATTTAGTTTTCAAATTTATTAAATGTTTGTTTGCGGGGATGATAGCAACACACAAATCATATCGGTTGAGTGCCTACATTATAGCTTTATTTGTTTGGGATTGCCACTCTTGACTATACACTCTATGTTCTCGCTAATGAAGAGCTGATTGAACATCAATTTCAGGTTGCTTGGCACTATGAAAGCAGTAGTGGTAATGTGAAAGTCCCTGTTGTTAGTGGTAATTATATCCTCTTATTGCAACATATTTTGGGTTTTCTCGGGGTGACATGAGTTGCGGATTAAACTACTCTGGAGTTCTCATTATCTCAACTTAGAAATTGAATTTTGAAACCTGTAAAGAACTTGGATGCTGAACCCTATGAAACCATTTACATATATGCCCATTTGTATTTTCCCTCTCTATAATGACAACATGATGCATTGTTAAAAAAAAAACTTGAACTTTTTTTTAATTATTTATTGAAGTGCATAGGTTACGAGTTACTCTCCATCTCCATGTCATGTACGTCACTTTAAGATACAAGTTTTGCATTTAAAAATTCTAAGAGAGATTTGATAAGATAATGAATCACATAAATCTAATCCTTGTTTCTAATACACCAACACAAGCTAAGCTGTGGTGCAAACAGATTGGCTATAGGTTTTTAAAGGCTCTAGGGGTTTAAGAATGGGAAATCCTTTTTCTCCTTCGTTCTTTTATTATTATTATGGATTGTTCTTTGTCGTATGCTAAAGAAGGTGACATGGATGATCGATTAAATGGCTTTGAGGTTGAATAGAGGGGGTGAGGTGGCAATGGTGTTACACTTTTTGTGACTGATGACACTATTATTCTCTATGGAGTGCAGGAGGAGATGAGAGTTTCGAGGCTTGTGTTGTTATGCTTTGAAACAGAAGTTGGGATGTAGGGTTGGTTCCCTTCCTTCGATGGGTTCATCTTTTAAAGATAGGGTAATGTGGCATGTGCTCGTAGAAAGGTTCAAGAAAGGCTCACTATTTGGAAAAAGTAATATTGTCTTACAAAGGCAGAATTACTTTACCAAGGGTGCTCTTTCCAGTTTACCAATGTAATTCTTATGCCCTTTTACTATTCCTTCTTCCATGGTGTGAAGGTTAAATAAATTTGTAAAAATATATGTATTATTGATTGATATTGTTGTTGTTATTTTACAAAGCAGAGTAGCTCATTATATAGGAGAGGGTTTGGGTAGTAGGTGAGGAGTAGGTGAGGGTAAATTGGTGGTAGGTGTAGTAGGTGTGGTAGTAGGTGGTGGTAGGTGTAGGTAAATTCTAACAAAATTAATGAGGTTTTCTTTAGGGAGAGATTTGAGTGATATTTAAGTATCATCTTGTTGATTGGAAGGAGGTATCTCTAGCTTTGAAGGGAGAGAGTTGGGAATCCGTTATGGGTATCTATACTGCCTTTGCTACGTAGTGAGCCCTACAGGAGCCACGACATCGTTGCCTCTGCATCAACATCTACAGTGGCAGTCCTTCCAAGGCACCATGATGTCCCTTAGCAAACTAATTGGGGTTATATACCTGGCCTAAGTGAGGGCATATATACCACTAGTATGGTTGCTCGGCTCACTAACTCACTCAGCGCCCTAGTAAGCAAAACACCAAGTGAATGAGTCAAAGTATGAAAGAGCTCAAGACATGGCCCACACCACTACTCAGTTGACCCAAGCTCACCCAATAAATTATAGACCACTTGGTAGCACCATGGCTTGGCACCTCCCAGCTCTCCAAGATTTGCCCCCACTCGACCAATGGCCCTTCATATCTCCTTTCCACAAGGCATGTCAAGGAGCAGTCAGGAGCACCTCTCGGCTAGCGTGCCTCTGCTCAGTCACTTTCACTCGGCAGCAGCATAAGTTGGCCTATGTATCCCCCTATGCATTCATCTCCTTAATTGGGATCATTACTAACTACTATCATGGCCATCACTAGGCATGCTAGGCTGGGAGTAGTGTCCACTACTGGGATCATGTGAGGATTCTGAATTAGAAACTAAGATCATGGGTTTGTCAGGGTTGTTTGGCTCTATGTTATCAGAAAATGCTAACACCTTAGTGAATTACGTGTTGGTACGCACGTTCCGAAACATGGTACACTTCCATTCCAAGTGATAAATTTAATGATCCAAAATGATCCCAAAAGTTTTTTTTCAATATATTTCCTTAAATGTTACCTTAGGAGAAAAAAATCAAATATATGAACTAAAATCTAAAGTGAGTTAAGTTTTGACAAGACAAAAAATCAAAAATGGATCATAATTTTCATAAAAATGATTTGCTGCATGAAAATTATATTTATATATATTATTGGATACCTAATAGTTAAAAAAAAACTACTCTAGAAATACCTTAAATTCTCAAATCTAATATGTGTAAGTCTACTCCTATCATATCACATTTTAAAACATGTGGCGTGCCACGTTCCTATTCCCGTTCCATGTACCGGAACAATCCACGTTCTAGGTAACATAGGTTTGGCTTGCTTCCCATGGGAAAGAAGCTCCTCTTTGACTAGTCTTAGAGAGAGGGACATTGACCCAACAAGTAACACCTTGAGGGACGCAATGATAGGCCTAATACCTTTGCTCTGTCGAGCCACGGAGGGCTGGCCACCTACCCATTGTGAGTTGGCTTCCAACGGTCTTGAAGCCTATATAAGGGAGTATCCATGCATGTAAACAACACAACTGCCACGCACGTAAACAACCCAACTGCCACGCACCTAAACTCAAGCTGTATTGCAAAATGTGTTTTTTCGTCACTATTTTAGTATTGAGTTACCAAAAGTTCAAGCTCTCTTAGTTTCTGATTAGGTAACATACAATTTTGGTATTCAAGATATTGTTTTCTCCTTTTTCAGGTGGACAACTTTATTCATGCAGATATGCATCCTGGAAATATCCTTGTCCGGGTACCTCAAAGCAAGTCTTCTCAGAAACGGCTCTTTAAGTCAAAGCCTCATGTTGTCTTCATTGATGTAGGCATGACTGCCGAACTTTCTAACAGTGACAGAGTAAATTTGGTGGAATTCTTTAAGGCTGTTGCCCGTAGAGATGGTCGCACTGCAGCAGAGTGCACACTCAGCTTATCTAAGCAACAGAACTGCCCAAATCCTGAGGCTTTCATTAAGGTAGTATTGTAGTTTTTTTTATTTTGAAAATATATAAATTTAGATTTTTGGATGTGGCTGTTTGGAATTTGTAAGCGGTGGTTCTGGTAGGTATCTAGTATGTTTCATTTTTCCTTCAACTATATTGCTTAATGGACATGAGAAGTGTCTTTCCTAACTTATATATATTGTTTCATCTGATAAGCTGCATTTATTGAAGCTTTTTGTGCTCTGCTCTAAATACTTTGTTTTAACAGGAAGTGACAGAATCATTTGATTTCTGGGGTACTCCAGAAGGTGATGTGGTTCATCCTGCTGACTGCATGCACCACCTACTTGAGCAAGTTAGGCGTCACAGAGTCAATGTTGATGGCAATGTCTGCACTGTGATGGTTACGATTTTGGTTCTTGAGGTAAATATCTTTTCTACTTTCATTTGTGTAGCTTAAGAGTTGAGTGATTGATCCAGTATAAAAAGTGGGAAGAAGAAGAAAACATATGACATAGCCCACTGAAGGTTGAATATTTTATAGGATAGTAAGCTCCTATAAATAAATAAATAAATAGTTTGGCTCTGTTCACTCTCCCCTTTTCACTAATATACTCCATATTTTGTCCTTGTTATGTAATTTTTTCACAAATGACAAATTGCCCCTCCCTGGAAATGAAAGAAGAGAAGTGTAAAGGTTTGCGGTAGGACAGTTTAAGTAGTTGATAAAAGTGTAAAGCGATTTATTGTAACTATGCCTAATAAAAATAGAAGGATGAGTGTATTCGTTAAAAGGGGAGTGAGAATAAAACCACAGAGTATTAGCAAATGCGATATCAAACTCACTATATCGAGTTAGATCCCCACATTTAGTCTATGGGCATTTGCTATCCCAACTCTGATGTTTGTCTGATGACAACTACTACTTTACTTATTAGATTAGTATTACTATTAGCCACATAACTTGGGGGAAAATCATGAACTAAATAAAAATCAAATCCAAAGATGTGCAGAAAATGAAATTTGGTTGCCCTCAAGACGTTGGGAAAATAAATTGAATTATATGTTAAATTTTTTTTCATTCTAGTAGGTAGATCCGATCGGCTACTTGTTTCCTGTGATTTTGGGCAAAGTGAAAGTGACGAAATTGATCATCACATATTTACTCAACAATGCAAAAATGCTTTTGCACACTTCCTGATAAATTTTGGACTCTTTTATATGTGGTTACTAAATGAGTGAAACACAGATTACTGTGTCGGACTTGCCAATTTCCATTAGCAAAAAGTGTTGTCATGGGCCGTTTGGTGCAGCTTCTGGAAAGCTAAAAATTGATAATCGGAAAGTAGAAGTTGAAAGAACCTCTCCTCCTTTTTTCCAATGATTAGTTTTTTTCAACTTATGTAAGTTATTCTGTCTCATAAGCTGTAAGTGGAAGTTACGCCAAACATTTTGACACACATTTTCAAAAATTAAAAAAAGAAAGAAAATAAGTTATAAGCAGCTCTATAAGCTGCATCAAACAATTTAAGTTGTTGCTTATATGCGGATGATGCAATATATTGTTAGAGTAAACTATAATTCGGTTCTCATTTTGGTGTCTAATATCTTCTGTAGGGTTGGCAACGGAAGCTTGATCCAGACTATGATGTTATGCACACACTGCAAACATTGCTTCTCAAAGTTGACTGGGCAAAGTCACTCTCGTATACAATCGAAGGGCTTATGGCTCCGTAAAACATTATTTGTCTGTGTTACTATTTCTCCACAATTTTGGCTGTGTAAAACCCAAAACTGTATATCAGTCCTGAGAAATCACTTTAGAGTCTCTCTTAGGTCTGTTTTCTTTTACTTTCAGCTGGCTCTTATTGTGTGCCTCACCATCCATTAATTTTACAAGGAAAATTTTGTATTTACTATTGTCGTTTTCCCCCACAAAAAGTTACTGTTCACTCTAATTCTTCCTCTGAGAAGTGAAAAGTATATAAGAGCAAAAGAAAGAAATAAAGGAATTATTCTTTGATCTGTTGATTATTCAATTAATTTTCACTCTCCAAAGTATATGATAAATGTGACTTTATTGAGATGTTAGTAATATTTTGGTTGATATCATTGGCTCTTATGTATATTTTTCTCTGTTTTCCTGATGCGCAACCCAATACATTTAACTAAACAGGTGGACTATGACCCCGTTTGGTAGAGCTGTGGGAAAGTGATTATAGCTTATACCTTAACAGTTTATAACTTATAACTGTGAACATAAACTGATTTTTGACTTATAAATTAAGATTCGCCTCCCATACTCAAAGAATAAGTTGATTTTTGATTTACAAAAAGTTATAAGCTGTATTGTTAAGCTGAACTAAATACATCAAAATAACTTAAATTAAGTTAAAAGTTGAAATAAGCCTTACCAAACAGAGTCTATTTGTGGTTCTAACCGGAGAGGGGGCGTTGCACAACCATTACTGTTGCGCCTTTTGGGGGAGGTTTTTTCGAGTATTTTTTGACGATTTGAACTGTTCAGAGGTCGTCGAATAGGTCATCCATATAAAAAATCAAGTTGATTGGATATTTGTAACCCTATAATCAAAGCACATTTGTTTCTATAAAAATTAACGATTAACATAATTTTCATAAATTTTTAAAACAATTGGGATCTATTCATGGGGTTATGAATATCCGATTAATTTATTTTTTACAAAAATAATATTCTCAACAAATCTTATAATATGAACAATTCAAATTATCGAAAAATATTTCGAAAGACTTCCCAAAAGAGGGCAGCAGTAATTACTGTGCCTTAGCACCCCGTTATCTGCAGGTACTACTTTTATAGCTGTGAAAGCTTACTCAATTGATTAATGTGGCTTGGCATAAATAAAAGGAGAAGAAAAGGCATCAAACACCTGCTACCTTGAATATCAATACAGTTACAGTTGGGAAGGTTTCAGATTTTAATCGCGTTGCAACGCAAGGCATCCGTTTGATTTAATAGATGTGCGGACTATACTAATGGTCTCTATAGTTTAGGATTTATGTTATTTTGGTCTCTAACTTTTTAATTGTAACATATTTAATTTTAAATTTTGAATCTTATTCCAAACAAGGATAATTGAAGATACCATTACTTAATTTCAAGGGCAAAATTGTTAATTTTATAAAATATGAACTAATTTGACAAAAATAAATGTCAAAAAAATATTTTTGAATTTTTAAAATTATTTCTACCCACTAAAGATAAAATTATGTAAAATTAATAAATCTCTTAGACATTTATTTATTCTTTTTGACCAAATTAATTTTTATTATGTGTTTGGATGATGATCGTTGTTTTTATTTTCATTAAATTAGTTTCTATTTTTCTAAAAGTCAAATATGACAATAATTTTGATATTATTATCAAACCAATCTATTAAATCAAAAGATCCAAAACTAAAAATATTTCATATATTAAATATATTGATTACACATAAAAATTCTAACAACTACCCGTTACATGATCATCATCCAAACACATAATAAAAATTAATTTGGTAAAATAAATAAATAAATAAATGTCTAAAAGATTTATCAATTTTACATAATTTTATCTTTGGTTGATAGAAATAATTTTAAAAAATTTTAAAATATATTTTTGACATTTATTTTTTTCAAATTAGTTTATATTTTATCCAATTGACAATTTTACCCTTAAAATTAAGCAATGGTATCTTCAATTACTTTTATTTGAAACAAGATTCAAAATTCATGGTCAAATGTATCACAATTGAAAAGTCAGGGATTAAAGTGACACGAGTCTCAAACTATAAGAACTGTTAGGGTACCTCTATTTACACACCACATTTAGTCTCAAGGCACACCATTAATTGGTTATTTTTTATTACAACAATCACCTTACCTAAAATGACCAAAATGACCATAACTGAATACACACCTTAGTTGAACACACATCCAAACCCTAACCCTAGCCATCATTGCTGCAGTCGCTACCATTTCACCATCGCTGCCTCGTCACCCTCTCCAGATACGGTAAATCCCCATCACCACAAACCCTCGCCACCGTCAACCCTCTCTCAACCCCACCACCTCGTAGATTGTGAGAGTACATATCGCGATCGCGATTGCGATCTCCCTCTCTCTCTCTCTCTTTTAGTAGGAGGTGTGCCACCGGGGTCATGGGAGATGAGCAGCACACGGTCGCAATCGCAATCAGAATTTCAACTGTGGGGGCTGGAAATTGCGACGGTGAGAAATGGGGTGCAGTGGGAGGACTAGGTGAGTCTTACCAGAGGGGTTGGGGGTGGTTCACCGAAGGGTGGCGGCGATCTACGAGGTGGTGGGTCTCTGGGAATGGAGACGACTTACGGGACTTGGAAATGGGCAGCAACAGTTACGAAAATGGAAGGAAAGGTTGACGGTGGTGGCTATGGTTGGCGTTGATGGTGGTTGCCGGTGATGGCTGCTGCCGCTGGTGGTAAGTATCTAACAATTAGGGCTTTTTTGTTTTTTTGAATTTGAGGTGTACTAAATGGTGTAGGACTAAGGGCAAAAATAGAACGTTGTGGTGTGTGTTAAGAAAAAATTTGTTTCAAATTATAAAAGGTGTGAACTGAGTAGCGGTATGCCTTGAGACTAAATGTGGTGTGTAAATAGATGCACCCCGAACTGTTAATGTGATTTGCCCTTTATAGATTTTATGATTTGTTTATTTGGGAGGAATTTTTTTTTTCTAAAAAATATTTTTTGCACTTTTTAGTGTTTGGTACAATTCTAGACTAAATTTTATCAATGCCACTATACTACTAGTCCCACCATCATCATCACCTCCTCTACCGTTATCACCCCCCAACCACATCTACCACTGCTTCCTCCTCCACAACCACCACCTCTGCCACTTCACAACCACCACTAATACAACCATAGATGTAATCAAACATAGAAAAACGTTTTCTATAAAAAAATATTTTTTGAAAATAGTTTTCATAAAAACCATTTTCCCATTCCTGCCAAACAAAAGGTGAGTCGAAATCAAAAATTTTGCCAAATTGGCAAGTTTTTGTAATGAGAAATGCTATGTATCCTAAACATTCTACCAAATATTTTACAAAATCTCTCACATAAGGTGGGACTCACACAAATCCATATGTGTGTGGGTCCCACACCCATATGAAAGGTTTGGTAGAATGTTTGGTAGAATATTTGGGATCCCTAACATAACTCTTTTGTAATATTTTGCTGGAAGAAATTTAGGGGAAGATGCAAACAACTAGGGTAATTCTATTTCAACATGTCATTTAATGCACATCTTTTTAGTGCATACACTTAATGAATTTATTTATCTTTTTTTTTTTTTTAACTCATTTCACATATAAAATGTTCCAAATATGTCCATAACATATAATGTGTGTACTTATCAACACAAAAATCCCAACACATTATATACATATACCACACAAAATATATACTTACACCACACCCCTAAACCTAACTTAAACCGTGCCCTACACACAAGACATTTTTAGACACTCTCCAACAGTACTCTGATGATATTCACTAAGGTATGCCATTTTTTTATATCAATAATTTTTTGTTATTATTTTACTATTATTCTGCAAAAACTAATGCTCTATTTGATTTTGAATTTTCAAAAAAATATATTTTGTTAATTTTAAAATCTTGTTATTTTATTTTTAGTAAACTTATTAAATATTTTAATCAACCTTATTTTAGATCCACTTAATTTATATACATTTAAAAAGTAAACTATTTGCAAAAAATATAGAAAAAAAAAATCAATAAATATTGTGTATGCTTTTTAAGTGTATCTAAATGAAATGGATCTAAAAAATAATATATATATATATATATATTAGAATATTCAAAATATTCAGAAAAATGGATTGAAATTTCAAAAATTATTTTTCAAAACTCAAAATCAAACAAAGTGTCAATTATAGTTGTACTATTTTCGTTATTTGTTTCATATTGACCGGCAAAGAGATGGAAAACAGTTTGCTCTAGTTATCTAAATAAATTCAACAAATTTGGCAATTAACAACTAAATCAAACAATAGTTTTCGGTTCTTTTACTTCCAAATCAAATATAAATTTTCGATAGATAACTATTTTTTAAGTTGGTTTTCGAGTATATGAAATATTTTCGGAAGTAAATTTCCGTATAGGTGCAACATTTTCGAAATTGGTTTTTGAAATAATAATTGTGACAACGAAAAAAATAGTACTTCCAAACAAATAAAATCACCTTTTCGTCGCCTAATTTGGAATGATAATTGTGACAATATAAGAGCAGGTTTGATGTGTGTATTTTTTGAAAAGAAAATGTGCACTGAAAATTTTCATCTAAAAGATGTGTACTAAAAAAAATCTAGTTTTAAGATTTGATTTGTATATTGACATCCATATTAGTCATTTTGTTTAATGATAAAATTATTAAAAATAAACAAAAAATAAAAAATTAATTCATTAAATGTGAGTACAAAAAGTAAATGATGTGTGAAAATAGTATTTCTGATTAATGCAATTCAACAGCCATGAATTTCTCATTTCAGGGGTACCAAAAACATAATTGTACAAAATTTTGGAAGTGCAGTTGCTTCAAACACAAAACAAAACAAAACAAGAAAAAGTGAAGGGAGCTTACGGTGTTGACAATCATGAATAAAGTGTCTCAGAAGAGCAAAAACATAATTGAGGCAGCGTTGATGAAGAAATCTAAGAAAAATTATAGGGCTTTTCATCAACGCTAGACTCAATGATGGTTTTGCAATCGGGGGTTAATGGCTATGTCCAGACTCTCTCAAATCGTTGCCTCTTCTTCTGCACATATATATTGCAATATGGGGTTAATGGCTATGTACTGCTTTATTGTACTCAAATATTCATGTACTGCACTATACACATTGTGTTTTGGTGTGCGCCAAATTTTGTTATTACATGGCAACAAAATAGAGAGTACGGTTAGTTGGCATATTTTATTTTATTCATAAAACACACAAAATGCCAACAATTTATGGACAAGG